ACCGATGCCGGTAGCGACAAAAACTGCGGGAAACTATGCAAAAAACGCATCTTCGCACGGGCAGCCTGTGCGTTGGCCAATTATTTAGTCTCTTTTAACTAATCTGTTGTAGTTGCGACAAGCAAAATTATTTAGGTACCAATTGTTGTCCAGAATACGAACTCCAAAGAGTGCTGAAAGCTCTTACAACATAGCGATTGTCAACGCTGGATCACCGGCGTGTGGCATGAATGCAGCAGTGATGAGCTGTACTCGAATGGCAATCCTCCAGGGCTGTGTTCCGTACGGCGTTCTGGATTCCATTGAAGGCCTAGCCAATGGCAAATTCCTGAAGTTGGAATGGAACGACGTGGCACTGTGGTCCTCAGATGGTGGCTCACATCTCGGCACTCAGCGAGAGCTGCCCGACTCTAAAACGATATCGCAGATAGCGCAAAGCCTAAAGAAGTTCTCCATCCATGGGTTGATTCTGATCGGTGGCTTCACGGCATTCCACTCCTGTTTAATCCTAGCACAGGCACGAAATGACTATCCAGAACTGTGCATTCCAATGTGCGTAGTTCCATGTACCATCGATAACAACGTACCCGGAACGAGCTTCTCACTGGGCGCCGATACATCGCTCAATGAAATCTGCGGATCCATCGATAAAATCAAGAAAGCAGCAACAGGGTCAAAACGTCGTGTATTCATTATCGAAACGATGGGTGACTACTGTGGATATCTGGCAACACTGGCTGCTATGGCGTCGGCCGCTAATGCATCATATATCTTCGAAGAGCTCTTCACCGTCTATGATTTACTGGATGATTTGCGGGAAATTAAAGAGCAAATGAAAAGTACCACGCAAAGCTATCTCATTGTGCGAAGCGAGCATGCCTCGTCGAACTATTCGGCTGCATTTATCAGGCAACTGTTTAGTGAAGAGGGAAAAGGAACTTTCTCAGCACGAGTCAATTATCTTGGTCATACGCAGCAAGGCGGCAATCCATCACCATTCGACCGCATCCAGGGCAACAAAATGGGTGCAAAAGTTGTGGTACACATTATAGAGCAGGTAATTTTTCGATTGAAATGCTGAACAAACTAGCCATTAAGTACTAGATAAAGCTCATGGCGCAAGGTGTGGAAAGTGAGAATGGTCCTCAACCATTGCGCTATCTTTACTGGATTAAGTACCCATATAAGTGTGGGCATCTTCAAACACAGTATTCCTGAACAAACAGTGCCCCTCCATCATTGTTTTTTTTTTCTTTCACTTACTCAATATGCTATTTTTTGGAGCATGTTTTTTGCGTCGATATAGCTAGACACTTTCCAGCCGATTTTTTTTTTTTGCTAACGTTTTCATATATTTGATCAGATCATGTGCCTTTTTTGACCGAGATTGAATGAACTTGCTTCATTTTTGCATTTACGCGGATTTATGTGTTTTGATTTCTCCCTGTCTGTTTATATTACCATTTCTGCGTGCCTGTTCGTTTTATTTTTATTCATTCCCCTCTACTTATTTCTACTTTTGCTAACTTTCGAAAGTAAATTTGATGCACGTACTTGGTGCAGATTTGATGCACGTACTTTTGATGCACGTACTTTGAAAGTAAATTTGATGCACGTACTCTGAAAGTAAATTTGGTGCAAGTACTTGGAAAGCAAATTTGATGCACGTACTTGGTCTACTTGACTGTAAAAAAAGATGCATTTATATAGGTAATGAAAGTAAATAGCTCAGAATAAATAACTCAGAAGTATCCGAATTTCCCTCCCCGTCCCAGTTGCATCGAAATTTCATCACATTAGGGTAACGAGGAAGAATTAGTAAAAAATCAAGGATTTCGTTATGTCCCGGTACATTTGCAGATTCAGGAATTTCAAAAAGCGAAAATGCGGGATCCGAGGACAGCGACGCTAATCGGTTTGTTAGGACGGCGTGAATGCATGATACCGGTAGAAGAGCTTGCCGATGAGGCTGATTTTGTGTACAGGTTACCGCGTGAACAGTGGTGGCTTAAATTACGACCGATCATAAAAATACTGGGCAAAAGACCTCAATTGCAGTAATTCAACACCGTGAAACATTATGCATTTCACATAGAATTAATCCAGAATTTGCAAGTTTTAATAAATTAAAGTTTTTGTTTAAATTGTTTGAAGTTAGAACACCAGAATCAGCAGTAGCAAGTTGAGCACGAGACGATGTTGCATCAAACGCACCAGATGAACCGGTGCGATCATGCGTTTTTGTACCAAATTTGAAGTAATTAGATTTACTGCATGAACGGTTTTTTCTTCACACCTATGTTGTGCACTCAATGCCGTAAATCATCGTAAATTTTATTTAAAGGGAAATAAACGATTTCCATTTAGCGGCCGTTTTTTGAAAATAACCAAGATGTTCAATGAGTATTTTACCGCCAAAAATTTAAGTGCCCGTACGCGAGAACCATGCGTACATCGAGACTGAATTTGAAACCTTTAAGTTGTATTTGGAGAGGAGTGTTCTCCTAAAATCTCAGCTTCCCAGCTTTTCTCGTTCATGAGTTAGCAACTTTCCAGCTAAAACTTCCACAAGCCGCACGTGACCTGG